GAGCAGCTGTGGCCAGGGGCCATGAATGCAGCCTGTACTTCTCCCCCCACCCCGCCCCATCAGACGAGGAGCCACTCTCAGCCACACGCTAAAGAAATACTAACTTTAATAATAACCATCCGATTCCTTTGGTATAATCAAGACCTGGTAACAAATCAAACCCATATAAAGAAGAGTGAAGGGGGAGGGGAGAAAGCAAAACCCTCCCCCTCTCAGCCCAGGCTGACCTCTGTGGGAGGAGCAGAAGCCCAGGCTGGGAAGAGACTGACAAGAGAGTTACACTTTGGCTTCAGAGTATAACAATGTGCATGCAACACTGGGACCCCCTTACCAGCCCGGAGGCAGGGGGGAGGGAAGGTGGCTCCATGCCCGGCAGAGAGGGTTCCCCCGCCACGGCAGCAGGGCTGGGAAGTCCAGGAGGCAGCACAGCACAGCTCAGCCCAGCAGTCCATGGCTCTGGGACCTCAGCATGGCCCCTTGCAGCCTGCCATGGGGCGCTCCGCTTCCCCCTTCCTGCTCCCGTCTTGTTTCTTTGGCTGGGCAGCCAGTCCTGGCGCGGGGTGAGCTGTGTCCAGGGACCCAGCTGTGTCTCACTGGGCATTAGTGTACTGCAGTGACCCCCTCCCCCCCGGTCCCAGGCAAGGGGAGCCAAGGGACTCTTGCCCTCCCATGGAAAGCCCCATTTCCCCCACATTTCCACACAGGACACAGGCTGGGAGCTGCCTTCCAGGACGAGGAGCAGGACTGAGCAGCCTGCTGCAGAAGGGACGCACAGGAGTCACAGCTGCCAGCGGGGACAAGGACAGCTGAGCCCTGCTTCCTGCCAGCAGGACACTGGGACAGGAACAGGCCTGGCTGTGGCCTCGGAGCCAGGGAGACTTGCATGAGGCCTGGGGCTGGGCTCCCCGCACGGCCCTAGCAGCTGGGATGGCCTGCCGGCCTGCCCCGGGCCAGCTGCTTTGCATAAGGATCTGGGACCTGCGGAGGGTCAAGGCACAGAGTTAATACGTAAAGTGACTGGGTACATTCGGTGTGCGGCCAGCCCAGCCTTGTGCTTCAGGGAGCAGAGTATCAGGCTTGCATGCCCTGGAGGGGGGAGGGGAGGAGGCGCTCTCAAAGGGGTCCCACAGGCGGTGCCCCCCATGAGGGTGGGCCCCTAGGGACTGCAGGGGAACAGGGCAGATGAGACTCCAGCCCCTCCCTGCAGGGTGGGGGAGCTGCTTCTTGGGGGCAGGCAGCACCCTGCAACCTCCAGACAGGCAGGCCTCTGAGCCAACCCCTGCCTTCCCAGAGGCTCAGCAGGGGGCAGCCCGCAGGGGAGGGGTCCCCCTGGCCTTGTGAGGGCACCGGGGTGTGGTTGCGATCGGCCCGTGGAG